CATATTTTTGAGATCAGTGAGGATGACCACCCACGCACAGTGACCCACGCCCGCGATATTTGATGAACTTTAGACTTCGCTAATGCTTTCGTTTCCCCAGGTGTAAATAGCCGGGGGGAATTAGTACCCTCGCACGGCGCTTCGCGCCGTCGGCTCGGGGATAACTGGCGCACTGCAATCCACTTGGACGCCCTTCGGATGCCCACGCCTGAAATTTTTGTCGGGAAATTTCTTAAGGCAATTAAGTTTTTCATTCCAATATGGCTTAATTTTCCAATTGTATACTAAACGCGGAAGTGCCGAATCTGCAAGACAAATTGCTTCACATAAAATCAACACCTGAGCCTCAACTTCCTTTTCGGTTCCAAAACGTTTTTCAGGTACAAATGCAGGTACAGTAGGTATTTAGATAAATTGTCAATATACGTTTCAATACGGTCCGTGTACACTTCGTCCATGCAATTTGTTCATTTGTGCAAGCCAAAAGGGTTTCGTGTATTTCATGTAGTTCTATGAGTAATATAACAGGCAAGTGGAAGGCAGTGTTATTTGGAGTTTCAGTCACAACTGCTACCCGCTTTACACACGGCATCATACTCTTTTCAATAAGAATGTAATCAATCATGCTGTATCCGCAGCTCGATATATACGTATTCACTGGCCCCCCTCAATAAGCTTCAGTGTTAATGGCACACAAATTCAGTTAAGTTAGCAAAGCTTGTAATAATTTTTCCTTTGCGTTTAAGGTTTGACCTGACCAGCACACTTTTAAGTGTGCACTAAAATCCCCCATTATAACAACAGATTTGCCATATGCTTTTTGTTCACAGCAAAATTGCTCTAGTTCATCTAAGGTTTCCTTAAACTCTGATACTGATCTGTTGCTCGAAGAGAAATACAGCACATAGAACAAATAACCAGATTTAATGTACCTTTTAGATTGATTGCTACAAACCTATCATTACCTCCTGACACGGGTTGACAGTCCAAATTCCTTCTCCAAAATATTGCAACACCTCCTTTACTTCTTCGCCAGCGAAAATTAAGATCGTTTAAAACACTGCCCCGCGCAAAGCACTCAAAGTTTTCATCCAAAGAATCCCAAAACGACAGGCTATCACGGTATAACCAATGCTCCGAAATTGCCAAGATATCTGTCATTTTCAATAATTGTTTTAAATAACTAAAACTGCTCTAATTAATTAAGTTCCGCCGCAATTCCAGCAAGCAAATCTAACATTTTTAGGATTCATTTTTCAGCTGAATGTTCTTTTCCCAGATTATTTTGCCATTTAACTTGCGATAGCCACGATCTTGCACGAACCCCTTCAGGCCAAAACTTGGACTCTTTGACGGTGTCGAAGTCTTTGCTGACGTTGTCCTTTTTCTTTTACTTTTCATCAAGCGAACAAAAGTCGGTTCAATGCCTCTGTCTTTCATATATCGCACGATTTTCTGAGTTGTTACACCTACTTTAATACCACCGAGAAATATACGTTTAACTGCTTTCCTCTGCATACCAACAAATTCAATATCAACACGATTGATACTACTATCAACACGATTTACTTCCGAGTTCTGCACTACATCTTCGTCCGACTCGATAACTTGAGAATTCTCACTCACATCTGCTGTACCGCAAGTTACATTAGTTGTTTTCGATTTATCATTCAAGCTATTGGCATCCACATTAATAGAGTGTCATTTGCATTCTTAGTGTAATTAATTGACTCCGTGCTTTTACTCGCACTATCTAAATTAATTGTTGCTTCCACAGCCGCCCCCGGAGGCTCATTATTGTTTGCCTTTGTCTCCGGCGTATGCAAATTTTTCTTGATCTTTTCAAAAGGTTCACTTGTTTTCATAAGGCTTTGCTCAACGTTTTGTAATTTCCCCTAAACCAGATCTAGTTCGAAGACATTTTCCTTCACATTTTCCTCCAATTTCTGGAGAGTATTTTTACAGTACAGAATAAAAAAAGAATTAATTACAACATTAATTACAATCACTTAATTGGTATAATTTCAGTTACCAGCTATATATTGAAATAACGGTTCTATAAAGCAATATGAAGTATAGTTTGCCGATTTTAGCAAAAATGCTTTTCTCTGTTGGTTATCTAAGCCCAATGTCTCTCTATTTTGTCCTAGTATTGTCAATATAAAATCTGAGTCAGATAAGGCTACTAAATTTACTGTTGATTCAATTTCAAAATTATCCACTATCCAGTTCCACGGGTTCTCCCTCTCATTGTGTGAGGCTATAAACAGTACAACAACCCGCGATTTACAGGGTTAACATAACTTTTTTTTACATATTTCGAATAAGTCTGGGTGTACAACTGGGTTACAAACACGTTTCCCCGTGATCTTATATGATTCAAAGAGCAGTCTTATGACATTAGTTATTTCAAGAAGGTTCTTGGGATACTCATTTGCAAGAAGGTACCATTCAGAAATTTCGTTGCTAGTATTGATCTGTGAATAGAAATATAACTGTTTGTTTCTTTTAATTTTCTCTTGCCAAACGCAATTGTATTTTTCATATACACGCAGGTTAACAATTTTCTTCCAATTCTTCTTCGCCGGAAAACAATCTGTTGAGACAAATTCCATCAAATAATCCAAAAGATCATATTTTGTCAAAACATACACTATGTCCGGTACAAAGCCGGTCATGTTGTTTCTATGATTCCATTTCCAACGAGCCAATCTGATGAACAAAACACGTCGGCATAGTACACCAGCACTGATATTTATCAGCCTTCCCAGGAAATAAAGTTTACGCCTATCAATTTCGGCTTCGATTGATAACATTCCCAAGAGTCCCCCAGCCGCCGGCCAGATGTGCCAGGGATAAGGCCATGCATAATACGAAGCGTAATATTTTGGACCCGTTCCAACTCAGTAAGATCGTTTTTACTCAATATCCAAAGTTTGGATCCGTAAAGAAATTTAGAAATACCAATCCGCTTCCATAGATAGGATGCAATGATAGGATTCAATCCACCATACCGAGATCCAAGAAGCATACCTCCCTTCCTCTACCGACTGCGCTTAAAACAGCGGCTGAAGAATGTTTGTTTATATCCCAGATTTTTCCCAAATTTGACCATGTATCCTTTCCACTTATGCCCAGTGAGCCAAGTTTCCATTTTCTAATAACGCAATTTGTACCGTGCTCTTCTTGCTTCTCACCATAAGTTAGAACAACAGTTTTCTCAATATTAAACGTAAATTGCGATTTGTTACTATATTCGCACGAAGTCTGTAACATTTTGTCCAGCCCTGATTTCTTTCGCGAAAGCATAGTCAAGTCGTCTGCAAACATAGGCGATCCGAGATAAACATCGTGCGCTGTAACTCCTCAATCAGGTCATCACTGAAAACTAGGAAAAGCCATGGCGAGAGAACATCCCCATGCCTTGTTCCGTGTTGAATAATGTATGTTCGAGAACTTTTCCCTTCAATAGGCACAAACTCTGCCATATCAATATATACCTGTCTCTAATAAGTCGCCAGGCTTTACCACAGATGCCTTTGTTATGATACAATTAATTATTTGAAAAGCATAGAATTGATCCCCATTGTGTCAAAAGCTTTCCTAATGTCCATGTAAGCAACATAGACTTTTTTCTTTTCTTCCAAACATTGATTAATAACTTCTTCAATCGTAAAACATGTTGTTAAAGCATCTTGCTGCTTTTGGTAACCACCCTGAAAGGTGTGATGAAGATATTCCGGTTCCCTTAGTAGTCTTGATGAAACAATTCGTTCACGAATTTTATGTATACTCGGTAGTAAACTTATCCGTCGATGGTCATCATATGATCGAGAATTTTTATTTCCTTTTGGGTTTTATTTCCTTTCCGATTTAAATCGCCAATTTGAAACAGACAGGAATTTTTTCAGACTCAATAATCAAATTAAAAAGTCTCAATAAGGCATCAATAACGACCTTACCTCGGTACTTTATGTGCTCATAACTAATTCCATCGATTCCAGGTGCTTTGCCATTTGGTAAACTCTTCACAGTTGTAACTATTTCTTCCGTGGTTATCGGGGTACTGAATACATCATTATGCTTGAACTTGAGCATAACTTTTTCGTTCATTTCGTCAAATTGTTTATTTTTGTTGGGTGTCGCTAATTTTTCATAATAATCAGCCCAAAGATCAGCTACTACTTGTGGATCACTGTACACCTTTGTATCCTTTCCCTAAACTGTTATTTTGCTTATCTTATTTTTTACGTGCTCTGTTATTTAGCAATCTCCAAAATTTTTCTGATTTATCTCGTTTGGATAAGCTAATTCGTCAAATTCTTTTCTCTCAAATTCCCAGGCTGATCGTCTCTGTTCTCTTCTATATTTGCATTTAGCTTTTTTGTATTGCATGTAATAAATATTCTCTGAAAATCTTTTAGTAGTTTTGACTCGTTTTATTTCATTATCTCCAATTCTAATTTTAATTTCACCTTCTTTTCGAATATTTGAAATTTTCGTATACGAACAGATAATCATGTACTCGGTTTTCTCAGTATTAAGTGTTAATTTATTCGCTGTTAGCTAGTAACGAACATTTTCAAGTTCAGTATTTAATCTCACTTTGATATCACTTGCAGTTTCCCCAGTAACTGATAAATTGGTATCATCAGCACACATAGCTGGTTTTGATTTTTTTAAACAATTAGGCAAATCATTTGTGTAAATTAAAAATAGAAGGGGACCCAGGTTAAACCATTGTGGAACACCACACGAAATATATTTTAAAGATGATGTAATATTATTAACTCTACACACTTGAGTTCTTCCATGTAAGTAGAAAGAAAACCATGCTAACGCACTATTTTTGATTCCATACAATTCAAGTTTCTTAATAAATTATTCAGGAAAGGCGCTGTTACACTTGTCTTGCAACTCGCAATTTCCTTGCAGCAAGCGTTGCACGAAGTAGAATCAGGTTCTACTTTTCGCTACGCTTGCTGCAGCAAAAATGTTGCGAGACTTGATGATTGCGATGTATGTTACACCTTGCAATTTTTTGTAATGTTTGTTAACCTTGCAATTGCGACACAACTTGCAAGAGAAGTTGCATACTGTAACGGATATATATATATATATATATATATATATATATATATATATATATATATATATATATATATATATATATATATATATATATATATATATATATATATATATATATTAAGGTGAAAATGTTCTCGAGTGTGTCACAGCAAAAAATCATTTTCTTATTAAGAAAAAAATTCTTAATTTAAGAAATTATTTCTTAAAACGAGAAAGGGATTTTCTTAATAAGAAAAAGATTCTTAAAATAAGAAATATTTCATTGGCAAGATATTTTTTCTTGAAATAAGAAAAAAAAATGTAATATATCTTGGATTATATTTGTTCTCTTAAAACAAGAATATATTCTCTTACGATTTTTTCATCTTCATATAAATCATTTTCTTAAGAAAATATGATTTTCTTGTTTTAAGAAATACTTTCTTAAAACTGGAAATCAAATTCTTAATATAAGAATTATATTTGTTTTCTTAAAACAAGAATATGTTTTCTTACGATATTTTCATCTTCTTATCAATCATTTTTTTAAGAAAATATGATTTTCTTGTTTTAAGAAATAGTTTCTTAAAACAAGAAATCAAATTCTTAACATAAGAAATTATTTCTTAAATTTTCTTGAACAGAAAGAAAATATAAACTTTGTTAAAATTTAACTACAGGAACTATAGCAATGGCATTCAATTCTGGTGTTTAAAGACATTGACATATTTTGTATATAGATTCATTTTAATTGTATAACACTTATTTCTAGAATAATCTGCATATGTATTACATGGGACCGCGGAGCCTGTTTTGAAGTGTGTGTGTGTGGGGGGGGGGGGGGGGGGGG